CATATTGATGATGATAATGATGATGATTCCGATGAATATGATACTAATGATAGCAAGAAAAATGAATATCATCAAGCACACTGTTTTCACTACTGCTACTACTACCACTACTATTACTACTACCACCCACCATTATTGATACTACCATTACTACCACTATTACTACTTTTACTACTACTACCCATCTACGACAAGAACTTCAGTATTTAAATAATAAAACTAATTAAATATTACCAGTAGCATAATAGAAATACTCCTACACACTTATGGATTAATTATAACTATTATATATATATATATATATATATATATATATATATATATATATATATATATATGTGTGTGTGTGTGTGTGTGTGTGTGTGTGTGTGTGTGTGTGTGTGTGTAGGTAATAGACCATAATTTTTACAATATTCTATAAATTCTACCGAATGTTTGGCGTTAGTATGTTTGTAGTTCGTTTTTTCAATTTTTCTCACTATGGTTTTTTGGTGAACGTTTAGTTTATTAAAATTTAAAATAAACTTATTTTCCGAATTCATGCTGCAAATAAGGCCATATTTCGATTCTGAATGAATCACCATCAGTGCTTTTTGCTGTTTATATAGGGAAATATTGACTTTGTCAAAATGAACTTAGATGGATATTGACTTTGTCAAAGTGAACTTAGATGGAAATTAGGTGTCAGGTTTCTTTATTGGCTGGTCATCTTCTTTGGTCTCATCGATATCTTCATCGATAGCATCATATTCTTCTTTGTCACTATTTACAGTGCTAGTTTTTATTACTTCTTTGTTTTCATTGTTGGTTAAGCACCGGGTTGGAAGGGAGGTTGTCAATATATTATATATATTATTTGATATGCTGCTACATCACTTACATCACTAGCATTACTTTATAATTGCTTAATATCACTAACAGTGCTCAATAATAAAAGTGCTCTAACACCTTTCAAAGTGGCTTATTCATCTGATAAATATGCAACACGAAGAAGTAATTACCATATTACATATTAAGTAATCAAGTTGCACAGTAGTAGTAATATTAATTGTACTAGTAGTAGTAGCAGCAGTAGTAACAGTAGTAGTGACATTAAAAGTGATAGTAGCAAGAATGTTTGTGGTAGTGGTAGTGTAGGGTAGTAGTAGTAGAAACAACCTTAGATGGATGACCAACAACGACAGTAGTAACAGCAGATGTTTGCCTTCTTGGGTCCGTTGGTTTGTACACCAAACATCTCAACTCGTTAGGCCCTGGTTCCAAGTTCTCCAGTAGAAAGATGCTGTCCTGTCGTTACGATGGCATGTTGGAGGATGATTGAGCTTGAGGAGGACGAGGAGGAAGAGGATAGAAGAGAAAATTATAAAAAAGGAGGAGGATGGCAGATGATGAAAATGAGGTTGTTTAAGAAGATGATGATGAAGATGATGACACGTAGGAGTAAAAATGGTAAGAAGATAATGAGTATTAAAAGACTGGTGACGATGTGGACAAGTATGATAAATGATGTCTATGAAGAAATGATGAAAGACAAAACGGATGATAAAAAGATGAAAATGATTCGGAATCAAACAAATCTCTGCTGATCACATGCAAGCAATGCAAGTGAAGTATAGATTCATGTGTATTTACGGAAAAGAAATAATAATAATAATGGGAACAATCTTTTATTCAACAATAAAATCAATGAAAATTGCAGTACAAATAAAATAATGAAATAAAATAAAATGTCAAATGTAATAATAGAGTATTAATCTGCGAAGCTCATCATTCGAATCGAGAGAGTACGACCAGAGTTGATTAGTTTTAAAATTGATTATTTCACATTTCCGTCGCAATAGATAACGTACGACGATGATATAGCAGAGTTTATTAGGTTATTGCAAAAATAATCAGTCCAAATAATATGTTTTAAAGAGACCTAAAGTAGATATTTAAAATGTATTTATTATTATTTTAAAATATTTAATGTCGTCGTTTAAGTTATTTTTCAAGCTATTAGAGTATTTTGATTGTTTGTAGTCTTTAGAGTTGAAAAAGTTAGTCTCTGGCAGACTGTCAACTCCAAGATTTCCAACGTTTCGCCGCGTTGCAATGCGATATCTGGTCGCAATGTCTTGAATAAGCGTGATGGTGGTTGAAAATTGCCTGTTTCAAGATCAGCAAAAATGGAGACGTCTGGGTTGGCGCATGATTTTAACTTGTCGAGGATTATTGCTAAAATTTTGTTGTGTCTTGTTGTATATCTACCCAATGCCGATGCTGAGCTGCAGTTGGATAACACATGTTTATTGGTTTGCATATTTTTGCATAACGAGCACTGGGCAGTGGAGGACTTTCCCCATCTGGACAGGTTGGCATTTGTCGGCAGCTGTTGAATTAAACCTTTCAGGACAAATTTGAACAGAATCTCGGGAAGGCTCACAATGTAACGTGACCAGTGAGCAATTCGAGCCGCAGAAATCTCATTGCTGATTGCTTTCATTGTTGTACCCTGACAACGGAGGTCAGTCGTGCAAATTCTGCACTTTGTTGTCAAAGCATTGTCGCATTGAGCGTCAGTTTGATATCGCTCGAATCAGGGAGTTGGTTGTCAATCGCAATATAGTTGTTGAACGATTCGGACCACAAACACTTCAGTTCATCATTGCCATGGGCTTTTAAATAATTGCGTAATTTGATCCGCAAAGATTCGGCATAGTGTTTGAGAGACCTAATGTTCAAGCCTCCCATTTTGTAGAGAAGGGACAAGCATTCCGCCACACAACTGCTGATTGGTAGCGATAGCCATGATCTCACCGACTCAATAATTAGAGAGTCAATTAGAGAGTCAAGGCAGAGACCTAATGTTCAAGCCTCCCATTTTGTAGAGAAGGGACAAGCATTCCGCCACACAACTGCTGATTGGTAGCGATAGCCATGATCTCACCGACTCAATAATTAGAGAGTCAAGGCAGTTGCTCATCCAAGTCAAATAATAATAACAACAATAATAATAATACAAATAATGATAACAATAACATAGCAACCCGAATAGTCACTAACATTATAAGACCTAGGAACTTGATTCTGACATATGACAGTCCTGATCAAACTCTCCCCTGCCATGAGTAGGTTCGGCTTGAAGTCTGCATAATTAACGAGGCCAACCAGGCAGAACAACAACTTCTGATTGACCAATCGCGATGATGATGTTGAGGCTGGTAACGAACATTGTAACGATGGCGAAGGATATATATAAGTATGTTGATGATGATAACGCTAAAGTTTTTTATTCTTATTAATACAGTTCTGTCAAATGCAGAGCCACTCACATGTTATTTTAAACTTAAAATTAAACTTTTATGCCACAAAGGCTACATTATCCACACCACACGACGCGCACAAACATTATGAAGCAGCACACTGATGGTCTCTGTCTTTCGGACATAGTACTCGAACCATAATAGCATATTAACGTAATAGCAGCGTGAGATATGAGCTACTGGGTGACCTACTGGGTTTAAATGCGGAGAGAGAGAGAGAGAGAGAGAGATCCCTGCTAATCACATGCAAGCAATGTGGACCATAGTTGGTAAAGCAAAGTAAAGTTCACCGACCATGTTAATGACGAAAACATTGAGGAAAAAAAATTATGATGATTTATTAAAGATGATGTTAATGATAATAAAGAAGATGATGATGACAGTAATTTTGATTAAGTCATTAACAAACAGACAATATTAATTATTGAACAAAATAGATGATGTTGACAAATACACAATGGATGACAATACTTCAAAAATAACTAATACGATTACCATTGCCTGCGCCACTGACAGCAGCAGCAGAAGTTAAAGCACTTGGTAGAACTTTACTACTGCTTGCACTGGAGCTGGGCTTCCCATTAATGATGAAAGCAATGTTCGGTGATGACTGGGGACTCATAAAATGAACAGGAGTTATTGGAGAATAACGCTGACTGCTTGTTAGGCAGCACCATTTGTGGACTATAGAGTCGAAAGCTTTGGAAATACTGCAGTATGCAAATTGTATGAAATGCTGTATATATGTCTCTATATACATAGACACGTGTTACAGAGTTTATGGATTCTGGCAATATTATGGAGACATAGTTTTTATGGATTTTTGCATAAAATTCAAATAAATTATGTAAGAGACATCAACTGACCAAACGACGTGCTTATTAATAGTGTCATTTAGCAGCATAGTTTTTTTAGTTTCCATGTCTTCCATCCTGTCCCAAGCCACAGATCGAAGGATGACAGGACAGAAGTTGGCACCTACTTCGAGGAGGTACTCGACCACTTTTATATGCTGGTTGTCTATGGCCTGTGAGTAGTTGAGTAAATGATGGATTGAGTGATTAGATGGTTGGTGTTTGAGATTGAGAAGTTGATTGATTAAGTGGCTAAAAATAGTGTGGTTGGTTGATTAAGTGGTTGTTGATTAAAATGATAGAACATGATTGGTTGGTTGATTGATTGTTAGATTGAATAACAGCAAAGAAATAATCAACATTATCATCAGCAACATTATCATCATTACCAACAACAAAAATAACATAACCACCAGCTAACCAGATGAAGAGCAGTTTTAGAGTTGAAATCTCTCTGATCTATTTTAGCTCCTAAGTCAACAAGCAGGGCTGCCGAGCGGACATGACCCTATAAAAAAGACAATATTTATTTGTGCATGTATGTGCTTGCACGTGCATGTGATATCATTAGCCACCATTGTCATAATCATTATCATGGCCATTATCATTGCCATCATAATCATCATCTGTCACAAAACTCTTGAAGCATCAACAAGCCTTGCCTAATTAATCATTGAGGTGCTTACAAATAATTAATGCCCTTGCCACCACTGCATCATCCTGATGATTATGAATAACATTAACAGAACAGCAGCTGCCGCCATCTTCACAACGGACACCAGTAAAGCCCAATGGATGTGCAACTTAAAAATCAACGGTGAAACAACAAGTTAAAACAAATTACCAGTGTTCCTTGGAGTAACCTAAGAAAGACAGTTAAACTTTGAACCACAACTCATCATTAAATGGTAGAAAAAATAGTGGCAAGCAACAAAATTTTTGTAGCTCTTAGTGAAATACAATTGTAGCAATCTATATCACTCTACAAAGGAGTGTAGTAAAATATGCAACTGCAGCATGGAAACCATGGAAACCCATATATGCATAGATAGATCGGAAACACAACAGTTCAAGACGAATCCCAATTGGAGCCACATAACATTAATCAATTGGAAAGCAGTAGGACATGATATATAAGCAACTTTTAAAAGCCATAGTTAAAATCTCTACATTTGAAAGTAGCAATTAATGAAGTTATGCACATGCACAACTCATTGAAAATGCCAAAATGGATAACCACTGGAATGACATTCTTAACACATAAAAATGTAAAAAAAAAACTGTTGACCCAAGAAACTGTGGGCTTATAAGATCTTACCAAAAATGTATAAAATCTTCACTTTCCTAATCACAAAAAAAACGTATAAACATCTACATCAATACATTGTACCGCCAGACGAACAGAAAAAATGTAAAAAAAAGTAGCATATGTGTTGTAAAGAACAGTTAATGGGAAATCAAATGATTATGAGGAATGCAAAGAAATTGAAGAAAGATGTACATGTTGCATGAGTAGACAGACTAAGGATAGCACAACAACAAAAATAACAACAATAATAAAAATAACAACAATAACAAAAGCCACAAACTGACCATTGCAGCACATATCATGAGGGCATTCCAGTTCATCTTGTTCCTGAGGTTCAAGTCGACCAGTTTGGCCAACTTCCATATGATATACGTTTGATCTGAGAGTGCAATGTTGTAATAAACAAACAGAAAGACAAACAGACAGATAGACAATCAACAAGTATATCAACAAATATATTGATGAAAAATATAATAAAATAAATAATTGAGCCGCAACAATAGAAAAATGAAATAACATTTAATAAATACATTTATTAAAAAAAGATTATTCTAAATAAACCAAATCGAATAAAAAAATCAAATTAAATTTTGTTTGCGACCAGAACTTCTTTGGACGGCCTTTGGGACGTGTGCCAGGTACTTCAACATCTGCAAGAGAAGTTATGACACTGTTTCCACTTCGTTTGACATGACCAAACCACCACAGACGGTGTTGCCGGCATTCGTCCTTTATATCATCTAAACCAGCACGACGCAGGATTTCGGTAGATTTGATGTGGTCCTTCAGACTAATTCGTTGCATCCATCGGAGCACTTTCATATCGGTTCGGTGTTGTTGTTGTTCCAGTTTGGTTGTCATTGGCCATGTTTCTGCACCATATAACAACACCGGACGTGATCGTAGTGGTAATGGGATGTCACGCCGCATCAACATAGAGGCAAGGGGATGCCAATTATTTCAGGCTACACGTATGCCTGCTCGAACGGCAGCTTCAGCTGTTCCAGTACAATCCACGAATGAATTGCTTCACGGGGAACTCAATCAAATGCTTTTTCAAGACCTACAAAAATGTGTGATAGTTGTTGATGCTCTGCGAGGTACTTCTCTTGCAGTTGCCGAAGGATGTGAATTGCATCAATTGTTGATTTCCCCTTTAGGAAAGCAAATTGATAATTTCCGATTGTGATGCACGACGTTAATTATCTCTCAATGATTTTCTCGACAATTTTCAGGGAGTGTTCTAACAGACGTATACCCCGATATGATGAACAGTTCAATGGATCACCTTTGCCTTTGTATAGCGGGACTGTCATGTTATAGTTCTATTCAGTCGGCATTTAGCAATTTTTCCATATTTCACGGCAAAGTTGTAGTAACGCTTGGATACCTGCAGTACCAGATGCTTTGATAATGTCATTTGTGAGTCCAGAGGGCCCTGCTGCTTTTCCATCCTTCATAGCTTTCAGAGCTTTTGTAAGATGCTCTACAGTGATGTCTAGAATCGGACCTTCGATAGGTGAAGCGTCAAAGTTGACATTGATGGGATTGTTTCATTTAAAAGATGGTTGAAGTATTCTCTCCACTTTAGCTTGATCTCATCTTGCTCAAAAAAAAATCAAATTAAATTAAATTAATTAACAAATAAGGATTCTATGTATGTATGAATGTATGTATGCATACATGCACTTGCATGCATGCATGTATGTAGAAACTCAAACATAACGAGCGTTCAGCGAGAGTCTTCAGAGGAAGAATTTCCGTCAACGAGTGTTTCGGCCCTTTAACTTCCTGACACTCTCGAGAAACAGGCCACATCCAGTGATCAGTTGGATGTCTCTCGCCGAACAAACAATTTGTCTCGCTTTGAATCACCTCCTTTTATACTGTAAAATTGTGCAAGCGTGCCAGAAAGTTCACCTATCAACATATCACCATGTGAGTTATAGATAGACGAGCCAAGTAATACGTTGAGCCGAATCTGGGATTGTTGAAAATCGGAAGCTTTACGCGCAAACAAACTGTTTAAACTCACATTCCTTTTTCTTTCTACACAACCATATCCAGTAAGACGCTTGCTCGGCTGTATGTCCTATGTTCTTCATACAACTCGATCGTCTTTTACCTGCCAAACTCAAATCCTTCAAAAAGCTGTACATTGAACAACCAACAACACCTCTTGCACCAACCTCAACTGCGTACAACAAACACCTTAACCCACGTTGTTTTATTTCACCAAACTTCATACTTGGCTGTTTTTATAGCGTGGCTTGCTGCTATATTAGCCTCAAACGGTACAGTCAGTTCGACCAGAACAAGTGTCTGCCGATACCGACTGCACCACCACGTCGGGTCTTGCTCCTGTATCTTTTATGAACGCTGGGTAATTTCTCATGCCATCCATATCTGCCATGACCTTCCAATCTCTGCCGTTATCCAGAACACTTCTTCCATTGCATACTTCATTTTTTGTTTGAACCAGCTCACCCTCTCTTAGAAAATGGATTTTTCTTAGTTTGCTCGGTGGCCATGAATTCACCTCGTCACAAACATTGGAAATGAGTTCCACTAGTGTTTTGAATACTTTATTGTATAACGTCCATGACTGAGTGCGTACTTGCAAGACGCCATTACGTAGGCCACTGTTTCCACTTCTCCACATAAGTTACACTTAGCTTCTCCTGTCACCTTCCATCTAGCAAGATTTTCTCCTGATGGTAACTGATCAGATCATACATGGCTCTTATAATGAACGCCAGTCTTAACGGAGCCATGTTCCACATATCATTCCACGTTAAACTTTTCTGTAGCACACCCTCCTACGTTGTCCACCTGCCTTGTTGATTTTGTTGTACGGCTGTCACCACTCGTTCCATGTCGTATTCTTTCCTTCTTTCGTTTATAATCATCTGTCCCCTCAGTTTAGTCGATGCCTTTGACCACCACGTATTTGAAAACCAGCCCACTCCAAGTCCTGTACTTTGAACGGCTCCCACAATCTCCTTAAACTTTAATGCCTCCTCCACGACTTTTATTTCTCTTTCTGCGTTCCATTTTCTCCTTGTTTTTAACGATGGCTTCACTTTTTTCGCACACTCGTCAGCTGAATTGTTCAACATCCATTGACACCAAATTTTTGCAACCTTGAATTCTTCAACCAGAAATTTCAGAGGGAGTCTTAGTAAAGTACTTCTACTGTATAACGCTAACGACGTCAGACCTGGAGGAAGTCCCAACCATTTACGTGTCTACCGGTTGATTTTTCTTTCAAGGCTCACTACTATGGGTAAGTTGACTTCATAAACTGTTAGAGGCCATAGAAGCTTTGGTACCACCAAAAACTGAATCAACCATACTTTGAATTTGCCTTGCAGATCCACTTTGCTGACAATTTCCAAGTATTTTGAGCATGTGTCTTCTAATTTTCCAATCTCATCAACGTCCTTCAGACTGGCATGATACCATCTGCCAAACTCTTTACTGAATTAGATTGCAGCACTGGAATCGCTTTACCGGATATTGTGAAATTTGTGTATGGATCCAATTTTTCTCTAGTCAGTGACAAACTTTTTGATTTTTACGGTTTGAACTTCATTTTGCTTCAACACAGCAATTCGTCCAGATTTCTTAACGTTTGGCGGCAGGTGATCACAGAATTTGTCAGCACCGTGGTGTCATCCGTGAAAGCTTATAGCGAGGGCATGTGAACTCCCTTTCCAAGTGAAACTTTTGCACCACTCGCTGCGTCAAGCAAAATTTCCATAGCCAGTACAAAAAGCGTCGGTGATATTGCACAGCCCATGGCTATTCCTACTTTCAAATCCACCCATTTTGTTGTATATTCCTTTGTTATAAAACACATCTTGAAACCCTCAAAGTAATTCTTTAAAATTCCTGTTATCTTGGCAAGTATATGAAACATTTCCAGCGCTTTCCACAGCAGGCCGTGTGACGCAGCTCCATAGGCATTTGCTAGATCTAGCCAAACTACATGAAGACTCAACCTATTACTTTTAGCTTTTTGAATCGCCTCCCAAATTGTTGCAGTGTGTTCGATACACTCGGGAACTCCTGGGACACCACCTTTCTGCACCGCTGTATCGATATATTTGTTCTTCTTGACAAACACATTTATTCGGGCGAAAAATATAGCCAAAAATAATTTACCTTCCACATTCAACAAAGAGATGGGACGAAATTGCGACAGTGAGGTTGAATCTTTTTCTTTTGGAATAAAAACTCCATTAGCAATTCGCCAGTCTTCATGAACAACCCCGCAGTTCCAAACTTTAACTACAGTAAAAGTCCTCTAGAGCGGGACCCTAAAGAACGGACAGATAAGAGTAACGGACAGTATTGCTTGGCACGGAACCGTTTTGCATGTTAAATAGACCCTAAAGAACGGACATTTTAAAGGAACGAACTACGGACAGAGTTTTAAGTACAAATTGACTTTTATGTCTTAAAGAGCGGACAATTTATAGCAAAAAAACATGGAATATTTGATAAAATGCGCCATCTAATTTGAATATTTGTATTTATTCTATTCTATGGAATGCGCTAAAGAAACTTTGATAATCTTTGGTTATTTAAAAAAAATTATTTTCGCTCTTTGATTTTTTATCGCGGTCGTGTTGATAAATTTTGTAACCATGGATAACAATGATGACTCAATCCATAGCCCACAAAGTTCTGAAAATCATGAACAATTTGAAGTCCAAGATGATGAAGAGGAAGAAGAGGCTCCAGTCCAAGAAGTTTCTACAAAGATGGTATTACAATGTGCCAGGAAGCTAACTTCCTATTCGATACATATGGGCAATAGAGAATTGTTAAAATTTTCTGAAAACATTGAAAATATTTTAGAAATTGAATTGTTAAAAACAAAATGTTTTGGCAAACAGACAACTATGAATGATTTTCTTCCATAACAATATTAAAAACGTGTTGTTTTATTTTAATTTTTTATGTAGTATATCAAAAAAGATTTTGATGTTGAGTCTTGAGGAGAGGACAGTTAAGAGGAGAGGACAGTTTGGTCATTCCCCAATGGTGTCCTCTCTATAGAACTTTTACTGTAGTAGTTTATGTAGAACTTTCATTGTGGCGGGACATCGCTTGTACAACAGATACGGTATTCCATTTGGACCAGGCGATGAACTATTTCTCCTTTTTGACAAGATTGTTTCAATTTCCCAAAGGGAAGGAGGTCTTACATTAAAGTTGTACCCGGGCTCCTTTTTAGTCTCGAAACAATCAATTCGCCGGATTTTGGTTGTTCAAACAACCGTTTCCCAAAGCGGTATGGGTTGGCAAGAAAATCTTGTCTAGCTTTCCTTTGTTAGTAATTCTTTGACCGTAACCTCTCCGCTCGACGCAGCTGGCTCAGTTTTACTCTCAACTGAGCTAGACCACCACGTTCTTCTCCATTTGCCATTTGCCATTTCCTCTGGCGTTTCTGCTCGCTTTTCAGCTGCTTTATTTCCCTCTACCTTCTTGACATACTTTCAATGGGTTTGACCAATGTTTCACAAAAACCTAACAGATTTGCACATTTTTCATACAAAAAATCCGTGAACAGACGGACATCAGATGAACTGCTCGCCATAAAGATCCTGGTGATTTCAGCGTCCAATTATGACCATACTATTCTTTCTGAGGCTGGAGAAAATTTATGCGTTTTCTGATTGGACATTCTACCAAATCCGACGCGTGAAATCCGGAATCCACTTACGCTGTGGTTTTCATCCTGGTATGTAGATTCCGCCGTCTTACCGAACACTAGATTCGAGCGTTGCGACGCACTTGACAGACATCCAATCTTAGTTTGATGCACTTTCAATCCTCTTGAAGATGCTAAACCTCTTCCACATACACATTTATGACCACCCCCGCCATTTATGGGGTCCGTGGAGGCATTAGTCAAATTACCGGGTAGGTCACCTGTGAGCTCATCATTCTCCCCCTCCTTTCGGTAGGAGCTCTGGGGGCATATATCATTGATGGACAAAGCGTCATGTACATGCATGTATGTATGTATTTATGAATGTATGTATGTACGTATGTATGCATGAATGTATGTATTATTATTAGAAAATTTATAGAGCGCCCGTTATAAAATTGGGCTATTCTCACAGGCGCTCTGTCTTATAACGATTTATTTAACCTAGAACAATTAAGTTTTAAGATCTTTTTTAAATTGACTTAAAGACAAGCCTGATACACGAAGACCTTTGAGAAGACCGTTCCAAATCAACGGTTCACACAGAAAAATCTCTCGACCCGTCTTAAGCCTAGTTAATGGCACCGTTAAAATGTTAGAAATCTTTGCACGAAGTTTGTGTTCGTGTGATGTTACAGATATTGTGGGGCCATGTTGTTTAAACATTTAAACATTAAAACGGAAATTTTGTAAGTCAATCTTTTGTGGAAAGGTAGATAATTCAAAGTTTGCAATATCGGGCTAACATGATTAAACTTGCGGCCACCAACAACAAACTTGGCAGCCCTATTTTGAATGGACTGCATCATTGCAATGTCTTTATCGGCGACACCATATAACAGACTATTGCAATAGTCTAGACGAGAGTGCATAAAAGCGTGCATCACTGTCAAACCTGCTGTTCTATTTAAGCATTTTCTAATTGCTCTAAATTCGCGAAATTAGAGAGAACATGCTGCAGAAACTTTTTTAATATGTTCACGCATTTACAAGTTTGTGCCAAATGTGAAACCTAGGACAGTAGCATTTTTACTAAACTCGATATAATATTATCAATCTGTATTGAATCAACAGCCACCTGCGACAACAGCTGCCACGTACCGGTTGGCAAAAACTTTGTTTTAGACTTATTCATTTTAATGCTATTTTGTGCCATCCATGTATCTATGGATGAAAGACATTTACCAAGTTGCTCAGTTAAATCATTAATGGCAATGACAGGACAACTAGCAACCACTTGTATGTCGTCGGCATAAGCAAAACCTATAAAATTGAAATCATTAATAATATTTAGGACGTCCGCTGTGTACAATGTAAACAGCAGCGGTCCCAAAACGGAACCCTGCAGAACCCCTGCTGTGACACTAGTTTTGACATGGCACCGTAAAAAAATCTGCTGTTATCGATTAGACAAGTATGTATGTATGCATGTATGTATGTATGTATGTATGTATGTATGTATGTATGTATGTATGTATGTATGTATGTATGTACATTAGGGTGTCCCAAAAATATGAAGTTTTAAAATATTGATGTCTCACCCCATTAAATATGTCAGTATGGTAACAGTAATTTACCTGCCAAATTTTAGCCCATTTGGACAATGTTTAGAAACCCCCCAAGGGGTCGAAAGTTTCTGATTTTGGTGTTTGATCGTTCGCTACCAACTTTTGATACATGATATGATTTTAAATGTTTTATGATTTGTTTATACAAATGAAACAAATATATAATTGTGAAAAAATATATAAATCTGCAATGCCTTTTATTTTTTGATTTTAAAAATTAGGTCAAAAAATGATTGAAAAACAAGATTTTATTGAATTTCAGTTCGCTTGAATATTAATTAATGCAAATAATTCAAATTTTAGCTAGCAGTTCACGATTATATTCTGCAAAGTTTTTCCTATGCTGTTCAACTACTTGGAGCAAAAATTGTTTCTGCTTTGAGTCTTTGGTGATGGTTTCATTGAAATGTTGTGCCAACGCTACTTCCCGTTTTGCAGAGTCATTGATGCAAACCAGATCCTTTACAAACACTGCTGCAACTTGGAAAGAAGGAGTATCTGACCAGTTTTCAACAGGTACATCAAGAAAACTTGCATCAATATTGGATGTTTCAAAAAATGTTTTAGACGCACGCAAATTGTCAAAACTTTGTGGTAGTGCGGACAAGATCAGTCTTTTCTTTGTCAGACAGGCCAGATGAAAAAGAGCAAGAGTTGCCAATTCTGGACTGATGTACTAAGAATGACGCAGCATCATTTTTAATCCAGTCGAACCAAAAACTGCATCGTCGTAGTCATGCAAACGCTGTATCAACAAAATATCATTCACAGGTGCATCAGCAGTGAGCCTGCATGAAAACCATGACTGAAGATAAACACAAATTATAAACCGATTCAAACGTTGAATACCTTGTAATTCTCGAGCTTTTAAGTTAAAAATGGTTTTATTAGTTTAATTTTTAATGCGTAGATGGCTTTTGCCATCCATCGTGTGCAGTGCGCCAGGTTTGCGAATGGCTAACCAACCTGCAGCCCAACTATTTGTGCAGCAAGAAGTAGAAACTCTAAATAGTCACCTCGTGAATGTCTGACCTCAAGTTGACATTTGATGAATGCTTTAATTGCATCTGAAACAATTATCAAAAGGGTTGATCTGGCTTCTGGTGTGTGATTCATTTCTGTCCATTTTTCACGAAATCTTTTGAAAAAAAAAATTTCTGGTCCGTCCAGTGGATGGTCTAAGACAAACATTGAATACATCGGCAAACTTATGATGACGGCAAGCCATCCATAACAAATTACGTCCCATGGTTTTTTCTAGAAGGGTGCAAGCTCCATTGAGTTTTCCAGTATTGGAAGCTGTCGTGTCAAAGCACATGCCAATAACCATTCATTTACACTTCCAAGATTTTATATGTTCATGAACTGCATCAGCAGCTGCTCGTCCTAATCCAGATGCTAACTTTGGAACTTTAAGAAGTTTCGTAGTGCCATCGATAAGTGATGAGAGCAGGACAGGTAACCGATCTACGTTGACCACACCAGTAACATAGCGAGTTACATAGCGAGTTAACTGGTTAAAAATATACATTTTTTGCATTTTCTAATAAAGATTATCATTCTATAGGTAATTGTTAATAATATTTTAAACTCTAATTAATGTCAGCAGTGAGATAATTAAACTAGTTTGCATTTCTAGCTTTATTTCACTCATTTTGTGCATATTGTTTAAGATTATTGATATGCATTTTGAATTAACTTGATAGTAAAATTTTAAAAGCCCTTGGGGGACCTCTCAAACTTGTTCAAATGAGCTGTAACTTCAACAATTTAATTATTGTACCCAAGAGACACTTTTCAGAGAGTGAGAAATCAACTATTTAAAAAAAAATTCCGTGCATTTCTGGGACACCCTAATGTACATAGACTAAAAACAAACAAAACCAAAAAGAACATTACTAAAGTATGCAGCTAGCATAACCAGTGAGTTACCATACTCATCAGTGTAGTGGATGTCCCAATCCGCCCTGTTCGGTAATGCCTCCAATATCTTAGTCATCACCATCAGGTTCCCTGAGCACACTGTACCTATCACCGACTCTATATGTGCGTTTGAATTATTATTCATTATTATTATTCATTACTCCTCAATATACTTCTCAGATTCCAAAAACAGTAGATAAAGATATCAACTGAGTTGTGAATTTTAATAAAAATAAAAGGAAGTAGAAACTGTATAATGAATAAATTATGCTGAATGAATGCATACTCATCGTGAAGTTAGTGACATCTATTGGTGACATTCTTCTCTGTGATTGGAAAAAAAATCATTGTCATCATCATTTCTATCATTATCATCATCACAGAAATCATCCTCATTTTATCATCACCATTGTCTCATCATCATCATGACTATTATTATTATTATTATCAACATCATCATCATCGTCATCATCATCATCATATCCATTAGGACATTCATAAATGTTATCATCACCACTACAAACACCATCATCATTACTACCACCATTGTCACATCATCATAATTGACATCATTGCAATCTATCACAAAAGTAATAATTGAAGATGATCACAAAAATGACAGTGGCCGGCTACTATAATAAATGACTTCAAAAGATAGTGACAATGAACAAATCAAGTACTATGATGAATGAAAAGATTACTGCTGATGATAGAAATTATAGTGATGATATCTATCGTGATGATGTTGTTCATGGCGACAATATCAATGATAGTCGTGATAACAATTATGATAATGATAACATTAATGATGACGATAATGATGGTAGAAATGACAGCATAGCAGCAACTAACCATTTCCGGTAAATTCAAACGAGAGAAATCTGGCTCAAATCCTTGTAGTTTATCATTATTTTTATTATTATTCATAATTATTATTATTCATAATTAATATTATTTATTATTTAACAAATTATTATTTTTAGTAGTAGTAATAATGTTATCAACTCATTAGTTGTAATAGTAGTATTAGTTGTGGTAGAAGTAGCAGCAGTAAAAGCCACTAGTGCAACTAGAGAAAAGTGATTTGCACCCCACAAAACGTTAAAAAGTAAGTGTCACAAAGATACACTGAAAAACAAAAAGTAGCTAACCAGCCAACTGTTTTTCTACCCACCAAACAAATTTCAGTGAAATATAAAATGAGTAAAGTAAATGGTCTAAAACTTTTGCTTTCCACCCCAAAAACAAAATTTTTAGATGCACTACTTAAAAAAGCAGTTGCAGAAAATAAAGGCAGCAGCAGTAGCTCGTATCAATACCTGACAGTAGTAATAATAGTAAAATATTAATATTATTTCGTTTATTCTGGCCCTTTTCTCTGAAACCTCCTTCTTTGACTATTTCTCCATCACTTACCAAGTTCAGAGTGTGTCTCAAGACCCATCTGTTTGCAAAAATCACTGCAGTGCACTGAATGACACACCAGAAATGGCATCTTACAAACAAATTGATTGAATGATTGATTGATTTTAATAAAGCGAAACCACACACCTTCGTCTCTACTATCCTCATCTGTATTGCTGTTCTTAATACTAATATTACTCTTAGTAGTATTATTATTGTTTTTATTATTAAAAATAATATAAGAATTAATGGTAGTAGTAGCTATGGTTGATGCAGTTATAGTAGTGGCAGTGGTAGCAGCAGTTGCTGTAGTACTGGTAGTAGCAGTAAAATCTCGTGTTTGTTCGATTCTTTCATTTGATAGTAGTCTTACTCTCTTTATAGGACTATTTGACAAATTGAAATCAGTTTGTTCGACTAGAAAATGGCGACACGGTGAATAGTTCAATCTGTTGAGTCGGTGTCTTCGAGCATCAGCCAGTTGCGAAAGAAATTCTAAATTTGTGAGGTCGTTACTGTGCTTATTCATTAGTGACATGTGACCAGTGTTGTTGCTGATGATGTCATTTTTGTTTTGGTTGATGACATCATTGTTGTTGTTGTTTCCATCATTATTGTTGATGATGACATTGTTCTTGTTTCCATCGTTATTGTTGATGATGACATTGTTCTTATTGCTTGTAACAGTATCATTGACGTTTTCAACAGAGATAACACCAATTCTACTGCTGTTGTCATTGTCAAAATTACTGCTGTTGTTGTTACTATTTTCTGCTATGTTTCTGTAAAGAATGCTATCAACATTACTACTGACATTAACATTATTTGTATCATCATCACCATTGTTGATGATGTCATTATTACTTTCGGTGCTACAAAAGGAGCTATAATCTGAAGGAATGTTCCAAATTTTTGACTTTTTGATGGTCTGCTGGTAGATCATGTTCCTGCAGGCTTCAAGCTCCATTTTCAGACTTTCATTCAACTTTCCCTGCCTGGAATCACTGTAACTAAACCTAACAGCAGCAGTATCAGCAGCAGTATCAGCAGCAGTAGTAGTAGTAATTGTCGTGTTAGTATTAATAGCTGGATACATATAGGCTGATGTGTTAACAAGAGTAGCAGTAATAGCAGTAACGTCATTAAAATAAACTTTTGTGGTTGTAGTTCTACTTCTATTATTATTAATGCTGTTATTATCATCAAAATTATAATTAATATTATTATCATTATCCTCATCTTTATCACCATCATAACTACTACTAATAGTATTTGTAATAAAAACAGTGTTGGCAGTGGTTGGAACATTATAAGTAGTAGAAGTATTGACAGGGTTATCAGCTGCAGTAGTAAGGATTGTGCCAATATTCATATCATTAGTAGTAGGAGTAGAATGTTTTAAAGCAGAAAATCCATAGTCAACAAGATGAGCTACTGCTGCTGTTGTTTGCATATGTGTTGGTGATGTTGACGGTGATGAAGGTGGTGTCAATGATGTCATCCTTGATGACATGTATGATGATGAAGATGATGTTGATATTGAAGATGTTAGAAATAATGATGAAACATTAGGAGATACTGATGCTAATGATGATGCTAGCAAAACTAATGGTGTCCCAGATGACAATAATGATGATGCAAATGATGTTGACAACGACGATGATGAAGATGGTGACAACGATGGCACTGCCGATGTAGATGGTGGTGTTACTGATGAAGCTCTCAGGAATACGTCCAATGACAATCTGACTGGCAATGATATTTTTTGGGGTAATGATGATGGAGATACAGGATAAGAATTTTTTGGTAAAATAAATGACTTCACTGTTGATGTTGATAAAAACGGTTGACTTCCAAGAAATGATGACTGCTGTTGCTGCTGTCCTTGTAATACGATTAACGATGAGTTATTTTGGTCTGAGGTTCGATTAAGGCATTCTTTCTGGGCTGAAATAAAGCCATCCATGAAATATTTTTCAGGAACTGATTTCTTGACTGGAAGTAAGGTATTTTCAGCAGGCTTTGTAATCCCTTTAAGTTTTGATTGTTGATCATGATTTGAACTTTTAGAATTTTTATGCTTGATGTAACCAATTATAATGCAATCTTCGGAATCTGCTTCATCATTATTAGCATTATTATCTTTATCAGCATTTTCATCGACAGGAGCATCATCATCCTCATCAGATGATAACATAATAGGACAGCTGGCAGTACTTCTGTGCTTGTGTTGACTGTTTATAGTGTTGTTGTTGTCATGGGAGTAGATGTTTGCATTCAGAACTGCCTTGGCACCTTTTAAAAATTTTGAAAATTTTTCTGAAAGAGTGGTGTTGCTAGAAGTTTTCACCGGAGAATGAGATAACAAAGATTCAGTGAAGAGATTAGTGGAGGGTTGAGTGGGACTGTCTGAAACTAGTAGACTTTTAGTTGACACATCATTAGTTGAGGTTGAAAAAATTTCTAGAGAAAAGGTTGAACTTAAAGCATCATCTGTAATTGAATACAAGCCATTCAAGTTCATTAAATTAAGTTTATTCATCATGTAATGTAAATTTGTAGTAAAAAAATTATGAACATTTTCTAATTAAAATTAAAAATAAGATCAATTTAAATTTAAAGTTAGAAAAAACTGTTATATTTATTATAACTTTGAAGAACAATCAAAAATTTCCCAGTGGAAACTACATTAGATTAGAATAATTAATTAGTGATATAATTTAATTATTCAAGTAATTTAACAAAAAGCAGATAAGAAGCTGACAATCTCACTCGACTACAAATTTTCAATTTAAGAATTTATAAAATGAAAACTTAAGTGTCACCTGCCATATTGGCACAAGCACAATAACCGGAAAATTGTCGTTTGCGTCCACGCCTTGCGACGCAATTATTGCCCGCTTTCAAGTTACTAGAGGATTCTTCCTCAGCACAATTTGACGAATTCGTTTCAGATTCCATTCTAGAACAAACCTCAAAAAGTAAGTAAAGAAATTTTCAAGAGTTTGAAAGAACTATTAAAAATGGCGAAACAAAGACAACAAATCGTTGCAGGGTACCAAAGATTTAAAAAATATATATATAGATGTTTTGATAATTTTTGATTTATATATATGTATATATATATATATATATATATATATATATATATATAAGTACACAAATATATTGACATATAAAATATACAGCATATATTTGAGAGCATAACACATTGGAAATGGTAAAGGATTACAGAAAAAAAGCTTTTTCTGTATAGAATAAAAATGAATAGAAGAGTACTTGAAAAGTTTGTTCTATATATAATCAAGTGCTATCAAAGAGCATGTAAATGATGCTAATAAAATTAGCACAATATAACATGACACCAGAGCAATAAGACATAACACCAAAGCAATTAGTCCTGACAAAGAAACCATATCAATTAGTACAGAAGAGAGTAAAATTAACACAGTCACTGATAACAATAAATGTTAATCACAGGAACAAAAGCCTCGATTACACAAAATCCAAAAACTAAGCCGCTTCAACTATCTACCTGCATCATATCCTACCGTCACTCAGATATTCAACACACTCGATTCAAGACTGTTCAAGAAAGTAGAAAATAACATCAACCACGTCATCCATCCTCTACTACCACCAATTACGACTACAACACAACATTCGTCAGCGTAAACATAACTATCAAGTCGCCAACCAATCTACATATCAGGAAAAGACTTTCTTCACAAGACGCCTTAAACATATTAACACTCAATATAACTTTGTCATTCAAACAACTAGTTTTTATTTAATAAAACTTTATCATTCACACAACTAGTTTTTTTTTTATTTATC